ATGTACTTCTAATATGACTAAAATTAATTGCATGATTATTTGAGTTTTCACAACAAAACGCAAATGTTGATAATCGTTACATAAATAGTGCAGCTGCATCAGATTCTGAATCTATTCCATTCAGCAAAACAATGAAAATGAACTTACTCTGATTGTTAATATAATCCTTGCATTCGGGTGTTAGGTAACACACCTCTGTCTTGTTAACAATATAATAAGTTAAGTTGTGATTGGATGGCTGGAGCACACATTTGTGTTTTAGAACTCCCATGAACAGCTGCAGTCCGACCAAAGCAAAGACGCTCAGGCAAAAAAGAGTCAAGATCATCACATCTGACAGCTTCTTCACTGACTGGATCAGAGCTCCAACGATTGTTTTCAGCCCTGTGCAAAACAGAGTAAACCTTGTCACTTTCCAACTTAACGCTGATGTAATCAGGGTCCAAAATTCAATTCAAGTATTTTATTCTGACTTTGTTTTCATGTATATTTATGACAAAAAGCGCAGGTCATTGTGACATAACATACGAGAGACTCTTCATGTGAGAAGACTCCTTGTTTTGCCAAATTTAGCCATTTGAAGATGTGCAAGTCATGACAGATGTATTCCTTCAGTTTATGATTTATTTCACTAATAACACATCATCAAGGGTCAGGCTATTATTTTTACAATTCAACTTAAATCATGTAACAGCCCTTTGCATTTAATGCATTACATTAATTTTGGACCCTGAATGTATTTAAATTGTGTTTTTTATTTATATGATTATGTTAACACTGATATGTTTTTAATGCTACAAGAGGAAATCTCTGAATGTTTCAGGATAAAGTTCACAGTAGTTTTTCATGTATCACATGCACATCACTGCTAAAGACATGCAAGACGGCTACAGTACAAACAAACTCATCACAAAAGGAGAGGAGAAACAAAAACAGCAAACACTCGCCCATAACGAATCTAGGTCCGATTTCAATAACACATTACAGTGATCGTTAAAGGAATAGTTCACTAAAAAAAGAAAATTTGCTGAAAATGTACTCATTCTCAGGCCATCCAAGATGTAGATGAATTAGTTTCTTTATCAGAGCAGTAGAGTGAAAAGCTGCACGTTTGTGTGTAAAAAAAAAA